TTAACGACTTACACCAAGGGAAGTCTCGTCCTTGCTCATGCCACATCTCCACCCTGCTCTTCCTGGGGCTAGGACAAAAGGGCACCCACCATAGGTAACCACCAGGTGCCCTAAGAGATGGGCAGAGAGGTGGCCAGATGCAGTTGTTCCCAAGCATTGTGTTCGAGGTGGCACATTTCACTTCCACTCCCATTTCACTGGTCAGAGCACATCACAGGGCTGCGTCCAGCTTACCTGGTCAGAGGACATTGTGACATTCTTCGTGGAACCTAGTGAGGCCACCACATAGTCCCAGCCTGTCTGGGGGACTGCAGAGGGCAGAGAAGAGGCGTGGGTCACTGGTAGGAAATGACCGCAGGACTCAGGATGGGTTTGCTTCATCCTCAACCAGATGAAATCTGTCTCAGAGTTGCTGAAAAACAACACTGGCAAAATTAAAGCAGTGAACTTCGGAAAAAGGAATTTGATCAGATATAATCAGCAAAACACTCAGAAACCAGTATGTGATCTTAGTCAAATCCGTGACTGCCTCGGTTTCCCCACTATGGAGAAGATGAGGAAGGAGGGCTAGGTGTTGTTTTGTAAGAGCATCAGGAGTGCCCAGGATCCAGAATTTTCGTTCTTTTAAATTAATGTCAGTTATCCTCCTTCCTCTATGGCCCTGAGCGAGTGCTCCGAATGCAGCCTGGGTACGTCCTTGGAACACAGCCTGGGTAAGAAGACACTGACATCAGCATCCAAGGTGACCTTGTGTTGCGCTTTTCTTCTGTGAGTGAACTGGCACTAAATCCTATCCCTCCATAATTCGCCCTGAGTCCCGTCAGAGAAGATTCCAGGGCTAGATTCTCCCTCCTGATTTCTGGGTGACTCCATTTAATAACTAGGACACAGAGGTCAGAGGGGACACTCCTGTGGCCCCAGGTGACCATCTCTGCCTGGCTTTCCCATGCCCTGCTGCAGGGCGAGGCCAAGGGCCAGAGCTAGTGAGGTGGCTGGGGAAGAGGGAAGGGCTGAGGGCAGCCCAGCGGTGGGGATTCCACTTGTCAGGCCGTGGCTCACTGCTCCTCCCACCATGCCATGGACCTGCTGCCTCCAGGCCCAGCCGGCACCAGCACAGGTGGGTGAGGGGTCTGCCTACTGGGCACCCGTGAGTCCTCCAGCTCTTTCCAGAGGTGCTCAATCCCACCTTCCTTCCATGGGGCCCAGGAGCTCTGTTTCCCCAGCCCTCCCCAGGGGCCCCACTCAGGCACCCCTCCCAGGGCCCAGGAAGCCCTCGGCCTCGTCAGGAAGCCAGAACCCTCCCCACGCTTTATAGCTGCCTCCTGCCATCTGCAGCCCACCCAGCTGCTGGCCTGTGGTCCTGTGAGCTGGTCCCTCCCCACCCCATCCGCACCGCAGGGCATGGCACCACAAGGGGGGACACTCAAGAATGGGAGAAAGACGGGCAGAGGGAGCTGAATCTGAGGGGGGGAAGCACCTACTGTCTCTTGGTCAGCCTCCCCAGGGGTCACCTCCAAGGGTCCCCTCTGGAGCTGCTTACTTCTGAGATGCACAGACACACACGTATAGAGGAAGAAACAGACACCACAAGCCCAGAGAAACACAGGTGTGGAACCACTTACAGCCTTACCTGGGGACTCGGTTATGAGGCTCATTGACAGCTTACACACAGATCCACACAACAGACATAGCCAGTGACATCCTGAGGGAACACACACCCACATACACACCCACACCCACTCACCCACCCACCCCCACACACAATCAGAGCCACATGACTCAGCCCCATAAAGCAAACTCTACACATACTAGACATACACACAGAAAACACACACACACACATACTCACACATGATCAAGAACACCCAGAGGGACCTCAGATTCACTCGTACAACCAATAGACACACAGACACGAAACACAGATACTCCCACAGGGACACATGTATCCGAGAGATACAGATAATGCCGTCACAGAGATTTGCACAGCGGATAAATGCTCATTCAGCAACAGACTTAGAGGCACATGCATACAAATAAACACAAGAGTAAAACATGAAAACAGCCAAAAGATAGGAAACTCATGTCCACAGTAAATATAATCACAGAAGCAGAACTCAGACTCACAGGTGCCTAATGTAGATTTACACACACACACACACACACACACACACACTCCACACATTCGACCTAACTCTGGCACACCAGTGAAGGCCAGCACAGGCAGATGGAATGCAGACCCTTGGCATGACCTGTTCCATCTAAGTTGTCACGGAAGGGAGTGTTTTCCTGGTTCCAACCCTGTGCTGGGCATCGGCTGCATGCCAGTGGCTAATGGAAGATTGTGCCCAGGCCTGGATTCCAGAAAGTGACCAGTGTAGAGTGGCCATGAGGACAGGGGCACAGGGTAGGGATAGGGTACACTTAGAGCGGGGCTGTTTCATGGGGCCAGGTAAACTGAGGGAGACTGGCGGGCCGCCCCAGGACCCCTCCTCCTGTTTCTCTGCCACCTGGGGTGCATCCTGTGTATTAGACCCATATTCCATCCTTAGTGCCTCTGACACCACCGGCTCCTTCTATCCTGGCTGTCAGGGAGCACAGAGCACCTCCTTGGACTTATAGCACATACTTCACATTTGCAGCCACAGCCCCAGGTAAAAATGGACAATGGGGAACAAACATGACTTTAATGGCCCCAGGTGGAATATATTTGGTATCTAAACTACATTTGTTTGTCTGTTTGGTTGTTTAATGAAGATGGGCATGTCTTTGGAGTTGTCAGCATCAAATAGAAAACTTTTATTTTACCAGAGTGTGCCGGAAGTCAAATAAACTTGTGTTATTTCTGTTGCAATTTGTTAGCAAAAAGACGACTTAAAACGATGCTCAGCATCCCTCCTCATCAGGGAAATACAAATCAAAACCACACTGAGATACCACCTCACGGCAGTCAGAGTGGCTAAAATGAGCAAATCAGAGAACTCTAGATGCTGGTGAGGATGTGGAGAAACGGGCACCCTCCTACACTGTTGGTGGGAATGTAAACTGGTACAGCCCCTCTGGAAAACAGTGTGGAGGTTCCTCAGGAAACTAACAATAGAACTCCCCTATGACCCAGCAATAGCACTGCTAGGAATTTACCCAAGGGATACAGAAATGCTGAGGCATA